TGAGATTGTATGTTTAACTAGAAAATTTTTTTTTAAAACTTGGCTTTTTTAAAGAGTTTCTGCAAATGCTCATTTTATCCTTGGAAAAATAATTTTAAAAACACAATATTTTCAATTATATAAGACTCTTATGAATGCCGAAGATTTGGTGATCAAAATCAGTTAGGACAGATCTTTTTTCCCCTTAAAATGTTCCTTCTGGGCTAGGGATATAGCTCAGGGATACAGCACTTGCCTATTATGTGCAAGGCCCAGAGTTCAATCCTCAGCACTGCCAAAAAAGAAAAAACAAATCTCCTTCTGTTACCCTCAAGTTCCTTAATTATATTGTCCATAGCTAAAATCTGAAGTAAATTCAGGAGGGTTAAGTGGCAAGAGATTTCTCAGTTTTATCTGCTGTTTTCAATTTTCTGAAGAATGATATATATTCTCAGACTTACAGGAAAGTTTACATTGAAGGTTTAGTTACTACTGGAACTGAAGCAYAGGTCGTATAACAAGTAAAGAAATAAAGAACAGACTGTGCATAAAGCACCATTAGTGAAACACTGAACAATTCTTCACTATAACATACATAAATCCACAGGAAGAATCTATGATGGATGAGGCAGTATTTTCTAAGGCCTTACCTTTTTTTTTGTTGTTGTTGTTTTTTTTGCCTGCACAGTCCCTTTRCAGCTCCACTGCAAAGGTGAATTTCAAAAGACAATGTCCAAAAGCAGCACATATTTTTAAAGTCCTAGCAACACCAATTTCTAGATGAAGCAAGAAAATGCTTGCAAGATAATAATACTGCCCTACATATTTCTTAGATCCTCAATAGATATTCTTTAATATAAAAATAAACAGTAGGCAAACACKCCTTATTTTCCTTCTAATGGATACTGCTAATTTATACGTGTAATAAGAACTAATGTAAACACCTAAAATGAGACTCTTTATATATTTTATGTATGGAGTTATAAAACGTATACTTAGTGGTCTCAATACCCAACAAAATTGAAATCTTCATAGGGAACAGGTGGTATTCCAAAAGAAATCTACTTGCAAACAGAACGTATGGGATTCAGTACACAATTTCCCAAGGAAACAATGGTATAATGGTGTTTAACTCCCACTCTGGCCCACAAAGCCTATTCAGATGTTAGTGAGAAATATTTATACCACATCTGCATTTTACATGAGTGGTAACTGGCAATCTAAGTAAAGAAACCAGTAATACTAGGGGAGTTAAGAGTCCCTTTGTACAAAGGATCTCCAATCGAAAAAAATGCCACCCCCAAGGTCATATCCCCCCCTTCTAGAGGGCAGCCCAAGGCCAAATAACCAGTCAGTGTCTTGAGGTGATATACTCTGATGGACTATCCAAGACCAGAGCTTTCCCTCCTCTACCAGTGTATCACAGTTCAACTCTTCCCTCTGTTGAAATCTACTTCTTCCCCTCTCCTACTAGTCAGGAGCACTCTCTGACAAACTTCCTGCACATACATATCTGTCTCAGAAATTATTTCTAGGATCTGAAACAAACAGCTAATATTTTATAAGCTCATATTTTAAGTATTACACTGTCCTAGTGTATCTATTACATATAATAGATACAGATAGGTTGCTATGTATGGGTATGTACTATCTCATTTTACACATACAGAAAGTACAGCTCAGAGAAGTTAAATTATTTGACCAAGGTCACTTTTAGGTCTACCAAATGCAAGTCCAATCACTAATTCCATTTACTAGAAAAGAGTTGTTGAATAACTTGAGGCAGAACCAGCCAAGGATTCCAGGGGCAGTCAGGAATGAGTGCCATGGTGAACCATGCTCAGCCACAAAACAGGAATTCATAAAATACTTGGGATCCAGGCCCAATGAAAACTAGATACACAATGATCAAGGTTTCATACAGTTTTAGGCCTAAAGCAGAAAAGAAAGGCCTAAAGGAACTAGAATTTCAGAATGAAAGTACACCATTATAACCTATTGCATGATTACTAGATCCTAAAAATAATGGTTGGCAAACCTTGTCCACCTACAATAGAAATGCTACAATATGGGTAGACACATGTTTACTATGTAGGAGGAGGTTTCCTTAATTTGTATTCCAGCCCCTGAAAATGTTTCATAAACTAGTATCTCAAACTTATATCCAACAAATTTGTTATTAGAGGTATGATATCTTTACATTTAATATTCTATTACTTGTTCAAATGCACGACAGCAACCAGTTCAACTTGAATTCCAACCATGCCAGAGCCTCTGCAAGCTTTCCCTAGTTAGTAACTTCTTTTGTAAAGAAGGAACAACTAAAGGCTAATGTTACAATGTTCTGATAGCCACACTGTTCAAAAGCTACAAGACATTAAACCATCCTATAAATTCTAAACAACTACAAATAAAAACTATTATCTTTAAGTCATTAAATTTGCACGTTTGCAGATGTAGATAAAACTAGTCATCAATGAGAATAAACCATTTAGAAGTTTTAACAATATAAATTTACTACTTCCTTGAAATAACTTATTCATAATTTTCATAATCACAAAATCTAGTGTTATAGTTACATKAGTTGTTATTTAGAAATACTAAAAATAGCTCAATTCAAGTAATTTTTTTTAAAGAGAGAGAGGGGGGATTTTAATATTTATTTTTTAGTTTTTGGTGGACACAACATCTTTGTTTGTATGTGGTGCTGAGGATCGAACCCAGGCTGCACACATGCCAGGTGAGTGCGCTACCGCTTGAGCCACATCCCCAGCCCTCAATTCAAGTAATTTTAAATTTCAAAAACTAATTGGACCTTGGTTGAGTCTGAGAGTTTACAAATCTGATGCCCCCTTCTGTAAAAATTCAACCAACGCCTCCTTTCCATAACCCTACATCATACACATTTTTAAAAAGCATTTACAATTTCCTTATTCATTGATTTTGTACATAGGAGGCCTCAGCATCCATGTTCAGATAACACTGAATGCAGAAAATATTGACAGGTTCTTCAAACTAAGGCGAATCATTCACTGATATGTCACATATATACCAACCAAGAACTGGRCATCATAAAATTCAGCTTACTGCTACAAGTTTGTACCTTCTATGATCCTGATAATGGCAATATTTGGCCTTTTTCTTCTTTTCCCCATTTATTTAATAAAACAAGTTTCTACACAAAATGATAGCTTCACACATATATACAATACTGCTAAATTTGACTTTACCACTTCAAAGAAGAGTAATATCGGGCAAAATAACCAATTTAATGTTATTGAACTAGAAGTAACAACTACTTAAGAAGAAAACTTCCTCAAACCACTTTAAAGAGATCACATCTTTTGTAGCAAGAAAAGAGGAAGAGCCAACCTGAAGCTTTCACGGGAATGGGTGGGGGTGGGGGGTAAACCAGAGCAGGAATGCAAGCTCCATGAGGACCAAGATACCCAGTGTTGATTGCCATTGTATCCCCTACATTTTTAACACAGTACTCTAACATTGTAAGTGGTTAACATTTTTTGAATGAATAAATAAGAGCTATTATTCACAGTATTTGTGAGGGACTTTACTAAATTCATTACACACAACAAGCCTTTAAAATAACAAGAACTGAGGACTTGATAGAGGAACACTGAGCCTCACAATAACCCTATGAGGGATCAATTAAATTTTTTTCAATGTTATAGATGAAGAAATTGAGTCTCAGAAAAACTGATCTTCCCAAAATGACAAAACTCCAAAAGCCTAGGCCAAGAGTCTGTCTTAGCCAGTCTAAGCACCTTCCTTTCTGCCACATTAATATCAAAATGAAGTTTAGAGTTAGAAAAACAACAGAACATGGAGAATACAGACTGGCCAAAAGTTGTATTATCAAACATTCACAAACGAGCTAAGTTGTCTCCAAAAATAAAGAAACAAACCTTCCTACTTCAAAATTGCACAGACAGCGCAGGGGGCCTACAGTTCTCCTCATAACAGGTTACACTAAACCTCCTGTGTTCTCAGCGCTGTGGGCTTCTTTTAAGTGCAGGTGCCCTTTTTAAAAAGTGATCTACATAAAGTATGGCTTCTAAAGCTGAAAGCTGTGTGCTCAAAGATAGATAAAAGGATCCTAACCTGCATTCACTAAAACATACATACCTACATGCTCTTCTCTGAAACACTGCCTGACCAGAGGAGTTACAAGAACTGTCCAAATAAGTGTTTGCCCAGAACCCTATAACCAAATCCTGTCACATCTTGGCTATTCCCTGCTTGTACTCTCAAWTGGGAGCATGCAAGCACACACGTAAGATTATCAGGCTTCTTTCTAAAAGTGTGAAGCCGAACTATAGAGGATGATTTTTTTTTCTTAACTCCAGGCTGGGAACGGAAGTCAAGTTCAGATTCTCTTCCTTCCTCAAGCGAGCCAGAGAATTAAAGAGAGCGCGCGCGCGCGCGCACACACACACACACACACACACACACACACACACGCAAGCACACACACACACACACACACACACACACACACACCCTAATGTAAAAAAACGTCTCAGGGCCTCTTCACCTGCAGCAGTCGACGCAGCAAGCCTGGGTTTGCTGGCAACTAAGTCTCCCCCTGCACTGGGCAGAAAGACGGGGTGCGGGGAGCGCAGGACTGAATGAACTGGTGCCTAACTTTTCAATTCCATCATTCTTCTCAACTTGGGCAGCTCTTTCCTTCCTCCGGCCCGGGACCCACAGGGCTTCGCCTGAGCGGGCACTAAGGGCAAGATTGGAAGGGAGCGCTGCGACAGCCCAACACCCGGGCACCCTCGCAGTCGGGAGCACAGGCTGTCTCTAGCACGACAACGAGCAGGGCCCGCAGGTCGGTCCCCGCCACTAGGCGTGGGGAACGCGAAGGGCAGCCGCCGCGGGGCGGAGGGGCGGGGTGAGCACTTCCTGACTCGCATTGTCCACGCACCGCCCGCGCCACCCAAGGCCCCGCCACCTAGCCGTCCCGGTCGAGGACCAAGTTGGCGATTGCCCCGTCTTACCGTTCTTGGCGTCTCCCGCGGCAGCAGCCCCAGTGGCGGCCGCGGCGTTCGCGGCTCCGGTCCCTGCACCTCCGTTGCCCGCCGTGCCCCCGGTGCCCGCCGCGCCCGCCGCCGCCGCCCCGCAGCCAGCCACCGCCGCCAGGGCCCCCCCGGCCGCCGCGCCCGCCGCTCCCGCCGCAGCCAGGGCCCCGGCTCCATTTTCCTGCTCGTCTCCGCTGCTGTTGGCACGCTTGTTTTTGCGGCCGCCTTTGCTGTTTTTGGGGTTGGGCATCTCGCTCACGAAGGTCCAGGTGTCCGGCGTCAGCGAAGGAGGCGCCCCGCGGCGCGGTCGCTGCCGGCCCCGCACAGAGTCGGCAGAGCGGAGGGCGCGGGCCAGCGGCTCCTCTGGCGCCGTCTAGCCGCGCGGCCCGAGCCGCGCCATCCCGGCCGCCGCGCCCTCTCCGGCTTCCTGGAGCCGGCGCGCGGCCACCCGAGGCTTGCAGCCGCGCGGGCGCCGCGGGCCCGGGGCGCGAGCGAAACGCTCCCGAGCCTGAGGGAAAAGGCGGGTCTCAGGCTTGTTTTGATTTGGCTGCGCTGACACGCTCTGGGCCCGCCCCCTCCCGTGACGACACTGGGGATTCGGCTTAGCCGCGCCCGCCAGGTGACCTCACGGCTGGCCGGCCCGCCCGCGTGACGTCACGTCCCGCGCGGAGCCCGCCGCCTCCGAGTGACGTCATCGGGGATCCTGCGTTGTGGACCCTCAGAGCTCTGGGTCTGCGGACCGCCATTTCTGAGGCGGCCCAGACTACGTTACAATGACTCAGAAGTTGTTTGGTGGCTTTCTGACCTTTAAGTAATCGAGGCTTAAAACAATACTGTCTGGAAAAATAAGCAGGTGACTAGAAGAGGAAAGGAAATGAAAGGATTTCATGTTAACAATCCATGGGGTGGCTTTGCCATTCAGTAACAGTAAAGAAATAGGATTGAGTTCTGGATAATTGGGATGAGGAGCAGGGTCCCTGAAATGAACCCATCACAGTCTGTGGTAGAAACAGTTCCCTCAAACAGAACCCATCATTTGGGTACCTGGCTGAATGTTTTCTGTGACTATGCAGCAGGCCCAGTTTGGGAGAACCCCATACTGTAGGTAGCACTGAGTTGTCTTGAAAGATGTGTGGCCACCTTGTGAGGAAGAGGAAGTTAGAAAGTGACACCTGAGAAGATATGAGGACAGGGGATCACCGGGAAGAGTTTCATGTGATCTCCTTTCTGCAGCTGTGTTCTGCCTTTTCACAGGCCAGATCCTTCCCATCCCTGAGATCTCAGCCCAAATACATATATCACTTCCTTCAAAGTGATCCCAAAGACATCTTCCCAGAAAAGCAGCCAGAAGTATTGCCCTTTATTTTCTTTATCTACCTGTAATTATGTTGGCATTCAACATGTTTACTTATTTCTTGTCTGTCTTTCTCTTGCTCCAATAAAATACCCATAGATACATTTCATCTTTCTTGGGGACTTCAAGGAAAAGCTAGCATAACTTCGTTAAATTTATAAATTAGGTCCCTTTCCTATGAACTACAGAAGAAAGACTATTTTAGCTGACAGTTTTACAGTGTATCTGTCCTGTAGTGTAATCTTTAATTAATCCAGCTGTTCAGTCAAGGTTTTGTAGCTGTGTTGTGAAGCTAGAGACAGGGAAGTGCTGGAAAGTGTGCCCTCCTCTGCATACTGGCTAGGTTGGATTCTGGAGGGGAGAGCCTGGAGAAGCAGGGAGAACCCTGGATACTCCAGAACAATTGCTGGTTGGATTTGTTAGTAGGAAAACCGATACACATTTTAATTCCCGAATACAGTATATGTTAAAGGAAATTGACCCTTTGGAGAAGGGTTATACCAGATAGACAGGAAGAAAGAATTTTGTGCCTATATTTTTGTGTCTGTTTTCCCCCACCAACCCCAACATCCTCCATTCACCAGGAAAGCTGGGATTGCCCCTTTCTAACTCTGCAGTCTAACATAAAATCTTAACCACAGTCGGTGTTCAATAAAAATTTGTTCAATGGAGCATGCCTAAAGCATTCATTTGGCTACACTTTTCTAAACCTTAATGTCTCAGCTAAAGCATCAGTTCTCTAGGAATCCTCTCTGACAACCCAAAGCTAGATTTGTCCCCATGGACTCCCTGTTCCTTTCTCAACACAACAGCTTACACACAAGGTAAGGATATTGCCTATTCAATTGTTTCTTGTCTGGGACCCCACTATGATAGCAGAAATTCTGTCATTCATCATTATATTCTCAGTACCTAACACAGAATGTGGAATATAGTAGGTATTTATTAACTGCATGACAAATGCCTAACAGAATGTGGTATATAGTAAGTATTTATTAAATGCATGACAAATGGGTAGATGTTGCAGGATTTGGTGGCCACTTGGACATGAGGGATGAAGAATTGAAGTCAAGAAATTCTGAAAACTAGAGGAAATGATGATGGCAGTTAATTAAATAGAGACTTCGGGGAAGGACAGTGGGATTGTGGAGGAAGATAATAAATCCAAATGACTCATTCAGACTTAGCTTAATTTCATTAGTGATACACCTTACTAGAGGTGGTTGAGAGAACTAAAAATATTTTGATGACATTAGATTTTCCCTTTCTTTTTTCTTCTTTTCTTTTTTTTTTAATGTGGTAAAGATGATGAAGTTTTAGGCTAAAGTACCAAAAAATTTTTTGAGATAATTATTTTCTTGAATATGCACATTGCTGTCATGCCATATTGATCAGTTAGTATGCACATACCCTGCAGACAGACATTCACACCAGCTGTCTCCCACCTCTAAATAACTGAGACTTAAGAATTGGACACTTTCCCACAAAAATATCGTAATTGGCTCAAAACACACAGACATCCAGCCAGTTGCTGTTCTGGTTAATTGTGCGAGCCACCTTCTCATTCAAACTGAAACAAAATGCAAAGGAGGAAGGAGAAGCTGGGCTACTTCTTCCATGCTCAACTTCACTAATCTATTTTTAGCCTTAGTCAAATTTCAAAGAGGCTATAGTTCTGGTTTTGTCGCTGCAAAGAAAAAAAACTAAAATCAAGATGTTAGAAACAAAACTTATATAAAGTTAAGGGATACCATCTTTCATATTCCATATAATGTGTGAAATTTCATGGTAATCCTCTCCTAGCCCTTTTTTCCACTATTTCCTTCCCCCCCCCCCCCCCCCCCCCCCCCCSCCATTCTGAAGGTGTGAGAGAGAAACACTAAAAAAGCAAAAGATGGCAAATGATGAGGCAGATCCCTCTTCCCTTTGATGCTTCCAGAAGGAAACAAAAGAGGTCTAGAAAACTGTGGAGACACTGTGTGCTCGGTACATGTCCACTTGCCTTCTCATTACTTAATTTCCCTTGATCAGCTCATGGGCTCTGAAATATTCTTCAAAAAGCCCTCTATCCAGGTTTCTTTCCTTTAAATTTCACCCACCGTTCTCGCAAAAATAAACCCAGCAACAAATCAAGTCCTTCAAAAGTAAACCATTTACACCCTTGAGAAAAGGGATGGGTTAATCTTCTGGGTGGGACTGGAATAAGGGACCATTGTTTGAATGCTCTAGTATTGTTCCTTTGACATTTTGTGCCTTGCCTGAGTTTGGGCTAAGGTTAGAGTATACAATTACGTGTTAATATACTTAAAAACAGAACAAGAGGTGAGAAACTGAGTATCAAAATGCAGCTTGATCTAAAAATCCTGTAGGGACACAGAAGGAATTTTGGAGATAACACAATAATGCATGCAAGAGCTGTTCCCACCTGAAACAAGCTAAAAGGTGCCAAAGCCTGATCAACTAAATAGCTCTATCAAGTAAATATACCTTGAACAATGTATATTCTATGTATCATTATATTCTTCTCAAAATAATCTATCTTATGCCCACAGGTTTTCTTTGAGGAATACTGACTATTATACTTATTAAGACTTTTTAAAAAGGGGTTGTAATACAGATAATAATATCAATTATTAAATGCCATAAAGTCTGCTCTACCATTAGACTGTTCCTAATTATCAGTGTTAACATTTTCTCAAATATTTGCCCTCAAAATCTCTTTTCAGTCCTTTCATAAAATGTTTTATTTGTTCTTTTTAGGTATGCATGACAGTAGCATGTATTTTGACATGTTACACATACATAGAGTATAACTTATTCTAATTAGGATCCCATTCTTGTACATGATGTGGAGTTTCACTTGTGGTATAGTCATATATGAGCATAGGAAAGTTACGTTCAATTCATTCTGTCCTTCCTATTCACATCCCCCCTCCCTTCCCTTCATCCCCTTTGTCTAACCCAGTGAACTTCTATTCTTCCCCCCCCCACACACACACACACACTTGTTGTATGTCAGTATCCCATATCAGAGAGAACATATGGCCTTTGTTTTTTGGGGGATTGGCTTATTTCACTTGGTGTGATAGTCTCCACTTCCATCCATTTACTGGAAAATGCCATAATTTCATTCTTCTTTCTTTTCAGTCCTTGAATTATGATTTTTTACACTATATCCATGATTTTATTTTAAAAAGTGTCAGAGTTATGTCCTCAGAGACCCCTAAACTTGCTGCTTACTCTAATTTCTATGCCTTCTTTGCTCATACTGTTGTCCCAACTCAGCATCAACACTGTTATAGATCCCATTATTTCCAATAGGATACTTCTTCAGGAGATAGATCGGTATGATCTTTTCCAAGACAGATTCTACCACTTCATATTCTCATTCACTGACCATTTGCCCATTGCTCACCACCTGGCTACATCAATATTTTCCAAACTTTGGGCCATACTCTGTTAGCAGGATGTGCAATCACTTCAGAGGGGTTCTATGAGCATTTTTTGAAAACTGCAACAAAACCAAAAATATAAAAATGCATTGCAAACTGAAGTTTAGTATTGTATTGTGATATATAAGTATTATTTTGTAAAATGTAGGTTATATGTTCATATATATATATATATATATATATATATATATATATGAATTTGTACACTGGATCATGATTTAAGGTCCTTTTCTCATTGGGAGTACAAGTCAAAAGAGATTCTGAATGACATTTTTTATAGCATGGCATCAAGTATTTGATTTATGGGCTGTCTTTCCATTATATTTTCACTTCAGAGAGAACATTTATCTCCCCAAGTATTTTTTAAGTTCTCCAAAGACTGGAATCCTATCGTTCRGCTTTTATATTTCTTCTCATCAACCTATCATCAAGAATGTCTTGCTTGCAAATTCCATAAATATGCAAAAACAAATAAGCCAAACTCAAAGACATTAAATTCTAATGGGGGATGGGGGGACAACAAGCACATAAAAAACAAAGAAAAATTAATCAACTATTAACTTGAAAATAAAGAAAACAACAACAAAAATATATATATGGCTGTCCCTTGGTCAAGCCAGTCCAAGCA